TATAGACAGGCTGGTTGAGAAGGTGTTTAGCATGCTTGCCTTTATTGCTCAGTCCTTTGAATACAGGAGGTGGGATGTCATGGTGAGGTTGTACAGAACATTGTTGAGGCCGCTTCTGGACCACTGTATCCATTTCTGGTCGCCTTGTTATAGGAAGGATATTATGAAGCTGGAGAGGGTTCAGAAACACCTACCAGGGTGTTGCTGGGAATTGAATGTTTGAGTTATAAGGAGAGGCTGGATAGGCTGGGACTTTTTGCACTGGAGAGTAGGAGGTTGAGGGGTGACCTTATAGAGGTTTACAAAATCATGAGGGGCGTAGATAAGAATAGCAGGTGTTTTTTTACCTTAGGGTGGGGGATTACAATGCTAGGGGGCATATTGTTAAGGTGAGAGGAGAAAGATTTTAAAAAGACATGAGGGGCAACTTTTTTACACAGAGTGGTTAGTGTGTGGAACGAACTGCCAGAGGAAGTGGTGGGTATGGGGACAGTTACAATATTTAACAGACACTTGGACAAGTTCATGAATAGTAAAGGTTTGCAGGGATATGGGCCAGGAGCAGGCAGGTGGGACTATTTAATTTGGGAATGTGGTCGGCATGGACTGGTTGGACCAAAGAGTCTGTTTCTGTGCTGTATGATTATGACTTGGGGTGGCACAGTGGCTCAGTGGTTAGCACTGCTGCCTCACAGCACCATGGACCCGGGGCCTGACTCCAGCCTCGCGCAACTGGGTGCTCTGATTTCCTCCCACAGTCCAAAGATGTGCAGATTAGATGGATTGGTCAAGGGAAATATAGAGATATGGGGATAGTGTAGGGCAGGTGGGTGCCCTTTGGAGGGTTGCAGCAGACTCGATGGACCGAATGGTCTTCTTCTGCACTATAGGGATTCTATGACTTTAAGAACAGCTTCTTTCCTGCTTTTATCAGCCTTTTGAACAGACCTCTCAAATGTTAATGTCGATCTCTCTCTGTGCACCTTCTCTGCGGCTATTACAATTGCACTGTGTTCTGCTATCCTGATGTACTTTGTATGATACGATCTGCCTGTACAGCACGCAAAACAACATTTTTCACTGTATCTCGGTGCATGTGATAACAATAAATCAAATGAAATCATCTTTAGGGTCTTGACTCTCAAGATGTGAAATAGGGTCAAGTTGTGACCATTGTCAATGCTGAGAGTGCTCCAGCCATGGCTCTTGATGCTGCTTCAGAGAGACTTTCAGAGTGTCTTTGTAATGTTTCCTTTGTCCTCCCCTGGAACAAGGACGATTTGAGGATTGAGTAAACCTGCCTGGGAAAATACTTCAGAGATAGTAGAAACTGCAGATGCTGGAGAATCTGAGATAACAAGGTGTAGAGCTGGATGAACACAGCAGGCCAAGCAGCATCAGAGGAGCAGGAAGGCTGACGTTTCGGGCCTAGACCCTTCTCGACTCTGTTATGCCACAGTCTGATTGCCCCTGTTAATTTTTCTCCCGCTTATTTATCAAAAGTTTATCTTTCTCTGTCTTGAAAATATTCAAAGATTCTGCTTTTGCTACGTTTTGAGAAAGAACAGTCCAAAGGTTCACAGCTCTCTGTGGGAAAAGGTTTCACCTCAGCTCTGTTTCAAATGGGCCTAAGTCCCCTCATACATTCATTAAACTTCAGTAGATACAGGCCTAGCCTGGTCAATCTTTCTTCATGAGACAACCTGGCCCAGTCCAGGTACTAGACTAGTAAACTGACTCTGAACTGCTTCCAAAACATTATAACCTTTCTTAAAGAAGGAAACCAATACTGTACATAATATTCCAGGTGTTGTCTAATCAGTGCACAAAATAACTGAAGCATAACCTTCTTACGTTTGTAATCAATTCTCATGTCATTTGTGCCAATATGGACAATGACTTCTGTTTGTTTACCCTCCCATTTCAGGATGCCCTGTACCCTCTCAGAAACATCCATGACCCCGGCGCCAGGAGGCAACATACCATCCTGGAGTCTCTCTCATAGCCACAGAATCTGTGCCCCTGCCTATCAATCCCCAATTACTATTGTATGCTTTGTCCCTCCCCTCTGCACGGCAGGGCCAGCAATAGTGCTACTATAATGGCCGCTGGTGTTGCTGTCTCCTGATGGCTACTGATCAGTATCCGACAACACCTTCCGGTCGCCGACCATTTTAACTCCCCCTCCCACTCCCTGGGTGACATGCCCATCCTGGACCTTCTCCAGTGTCACAACGACGCCACCCGCAAACTGGAGGAGCAGCACCTCACATTCCGCCTTGGGAGCCTACAACCCAATGGTCTCAATGTGGACTTTACCAGTTTCAAAATCTCCCCATCCCCGGCCTCATCCCATGTTCAACCCTCCCTCTCATCCCCGCCTCCTTGACCTGACACAACCTGTCCATCTTCTCTCCCACCTAACTGCTCCTCCCACCTCACTGACCAATCCCCACCACTGCCTACCTGCACTTACCTGTCACCATCCCACCTACTTTCCTCAACCCCACCCCTCCTCTCTTTATTTATTTCAGAGCTCCCTTGCCCCTCCCCATTTCTGTAGAAGGGTCCCTAACTGAAATGTCAGCTTTCCTGCTCCTCTGATGCTGCCTGTCTTGCTGTGTTCCTGCAGCTCCACACTGTGTTCCTCCTGCTCCTCTGATGCTGCCTGGCCTGCTGTGTTCCTCCAGCTCCACACTGTGTTATTCCTGCTCCTCTGATGCTGCCTGTCCTGCTGTGTTCCTGCAGCTCCACACTGTGTTCCTCCTGCTCCTCTGATGCTGCCTGGCCTGCTGTGTTCCTGCAGCTCCACACTGTGTTCCTCCTGCTCCTCTGATGCTGCCTGTCCTGCTGTGCTCCTCCAGCTCCACACTGTGTTCATCCTGCTCCTCTGATGCTGCCTGGCCTGCTGTGTTCCTCCAGCTC